CAATAACACAAATGATAAATGCCGTATTCTTAGTATAGACTATGAGCAGGTTTGATGGCACAGCAGCCAAAGTGAATGCCTACTGTGGGGTCATTAATACAATTTAATTGCGGTATTTTTCCATGTTGGTAGACGTAAAAAATTATATTTTGTGGACTGTAGTTTCCATGGAAGCCACCAGCATGGCCAACAGTCCGAAAACCGACTTCATCCACAAAAATAAAATGATATGGATATCCCAAATTCCATATGGATATGAGCTTGCTCTCGAATAAAATAATAGGTTTGGAGGAAATTTTGGTGCAGGACCCTAAAGAATTGACTTGGGTGCTAAGGGCATATGTAATGTCTGACAAGCCTGTCAGCCTATCTACGTGGAAAAGTGAAACATGAAGGGTAATTTTAATAAAATACTGGGATTTAAATTTTTATAGAAAATATTCTCATAATTGATAGTCCCGAAGGTAGGAGAAGCTAGGTCAATCATAAAAGAACAGAAGAGGAGAAATTAGGTGAAAGAATTCAAACATATGTAAAAAATAAGAAAAAGCGATAAACGTTTAAATTAAGGATATACGTCCTTTTATATATTTTATGATTAAATCTTTATTCTTAAAACATTTATTGTTTTTAATTAATTCGGCAGATTCAAACGTCCCTACGATGGAGGATACTCCTTGGGTGGCTCAGATTACCGCTCGCCTTAAGGAGCGTAATTTAAAGCAGTCTTCACTTTTTGAAGGCATCCTTAAGAACTGTGCGTTCTCGTTTAGCCCTTATGTTTATGGTAGATACCAACCTCAAATTCAGTGTCCTTCAACTTTCCGAAGAGAATGCAAGGTTGACTTTGGAAAATCGCTCTTTGCAGGCCAGGGCGGCTGAGTTTTCCCTTAAAAAGGAGAAATCGTTTGTTTATTATTTTTTTATTTACAGTTACTCTCAACAATACTATGATTACGAACAAAAGGTCTTTCGCCTTCAGGAAGAGGTTACAGAAATACACAGAGCAAAAGGAATAGTAATCATTTAATATCCCATCTAAATAATAATAAAAGCTTTCTCAAGAACTTTTGGACGCCAACAAGATCATTCAAGAAAAGGAAAAATCTCTTCAAAAGGTTGTTGCAAGGTTGTTATTATTGTTTCTAACTTAATTTAGTAATGCTGAGCTTGAAGAGAAGATTAAGGAATTGCAGAGCATAAACTTGGTGGTTCAAGAAAAGCAAGAATCTCTTGAGCACTCTAATCAGGTTAGACGTCCCTTATTTTTAAACTAGTAGTGTATTCTTGATGAACATTCAGCAACCTTACTCGCCTATAATACACTAAAAAATAAGACAAGACAACTTGAGGAAGATAACCAAAGACTGATGCAGCAACTAAAAACACTACAAGATAAATTAGAAGAACTAGAAAATCAAGAATATGATATTCAATTTAGGTAGGTTCTTGCACCATCATCTTCCACTGTCAAGGTTGAGGCAAGAATGCATAAAAAAAGAACTCCAGGAGGCAGCCAGACAAAGCGTTACTATAAATGAAAGGTCTTAAAACTTTAGTTTATTTTTTATTTAGATTGATTAAAGAGTCTGCAATGAATTTTGTTGCTACTCTCCCGAAGATGCCCTTGTGTAAGATTGTAAGTCACTTATAAAAATCCAACTTCTAGGAAGCTAATGAAAGGGATGTTTACGCAGTGCGTTTCTCTCCCACCGGACGATTATTCGGCTCTGGTGGCTTCGACAGAAAAGTTAGGCTGTGGACTCTAACCCAAAGTAAATTACTATAATTTTATCTATCTTTTGTACATCTATTCCATTTCTGTACCTTTTTGGACTGCCTTTGGACTTAGGACATTCGCAACATTAAGTTATTTTCATTTTAGTCAGTAAACCTGAATTGCGCTCTGCGCTGGTTGGCTGTAATGCAGGTGTTACTGCAATTGATTTTGATCCTGAGGTAGGTTATTATTGTTTTATTAGATCCAAAGGAAACTGCCATCTTGGGCGCTTCAAATGACTTTTCATGCCGCGTGTGGACTCTTTCCGATTTCAGATTGCGTATAAATTTGACCGGTCATTCCGACAGAGTTTTATCAGCGAAGTTCATAGGCGAACCCAACAAAGTAGTTACTGCTTCATCGGATAGGACCCTAAAGGTAATGTCCTAATTTATAAGTTTTTAAGCCAGATTTTATTTCAATTTTTTATAGTAATATTTTTCGTGCATTATGGGGATTTAAAAAAATTAATTTAAATCTTTCGTTGTATTTAAAAATTATGGAGCCTTACGGCTACGATAGAAGATTCTCTTTTGTATCCTATTTTATGCCAAGTAACTCCATTCACATAATAAAAATATGAAAACTTAAGTAAGATTGACGCATCTACCTTAAAATAATTTCATAAATTTGGCTTGAGAGCAGATTAAGTTTCCAAACTACCAGTATATATTGAATAATTGGCTCGTTCACCGTGGGTCGCATGATAATGGTTCGATAGTTTAATTTTCCTGCAATGCTATGAGTAAGTCTC